CTCCTATTCGAGGACTGAAGGATGGTGCTCGGTGGTGCATGGTTCCAGATTCTGGTTGGGATTTTAGGGCTGTATAAATAAGCTTCCAAAATAGAATGTGCTGTGGCAGGAGGAAGGGAGGAAAATGTCTTGTTGCTAAGGAACATGACAGAGAACTGGGAGATGTGACTCAGTTCTTGGCTTCATGTAACTTCTCTTCAGGAAGATGTGGGTCCACAGAGCTTGTCTCTGCGAGTGTGAAGCAATGGATATTTACTGAGGTTTTGAGAAGATGCTGTGTGGGGAGCCAGTTGAACTCAGTCCACTTTCACAATCAAGTGTACTTCTGAGTGTCTGCAGCATCAGGAGCGCGGGGAAATAGTGACAAACCAACCCTGGCTTCTCATCTCCTGGTTCCTCTTCCTCAATAGAGTCTGTTGCTCCTTTCTCCCCCTGTTTAATATTAGAGGAGGATGGATCCTGAAGGTCTAATAGCCTGGAAAGATGATAGCTTGACTTGCTGCAAATCTCTCTTCAGAGAGGAGGGATTTGGCTTTTGGTTTGTAATACCTACCTGCAGCTTCTTCTATGCCATCCCCATGCCTTTTCCCAGCTTTGGTGTTGTGACTGGGTATCACAGGTTGCTTGTACCTTTTCAGCTGTGCAGCTACATGTGCTCATGTGCCTGACCTTAGCACCACGCTCTCCTCACACGGCTGGGACCTGGGGTCTGTAAAATCACTGCTGATAATAAGAGAAACCCAGCATAAGAGAAATAAAGGTGGCCGTGTGCTGGGGCAGCGCACACCCTCCAAGATGTTCTTTCAAAGTCAAAGTTTACTAACCCTGTGTTAGAAAGTGCTCTGTTGTCAGGTTCCAATCCACCCTATTAGTGATAGCAACAGGAGATAGAGCAGGTGTTCTGTGTTTGTTTAGCATGGGTTTGGTTTCCCTTGGCAAAGTGTGCTACGGGAAGGTGCCATTATCCTGTCCAAAATGCAGGACCATGCGCTGGATGGGCACCGAGCAAGCACTGTCAGTGTGCAAGACTTGAAATGTGTTTTGTTCTGGGAGCCTTTGTTTCAGGGGTTTTTGGTACTGAAAAGGGGAGGAAAATGCAAGCACAAGATGATCTGGGGGGGCACAGGAAAGCTTCAGTTATTAAAAGGCTTCTCCTCTTTGTTTGCCAGGATTCAAAGCCAAGGAGTGAGGAGACAGTGCTCTTTTCAGGGAATCGTGGAATGGTTTGGATTGGAAGGGACCTTAAAGCTCATCCAGTTCCATGGGTAGGGACCCCTTCCACTAGAGCAGCTTGCTCCAAGCCCCTGCATCCGACCTGGCCTTGAGCACTGCCAGGGATGGGGCAGCCACAGCTTCTCTGGGCACCCTGTGCCAGCGCCTCAGCACCCTCACAGGGAAGAGCTTCTGCCTAAGAGCTCATCTCAGTCTCCCCTCGGGCAGGTTAAAGCCATTCCCCTTGGCCTGTCCATACAGGCCCTTGTCCAAAGCCCCTCTCCAGGTTTCTTATCAGCCCCTTTAGGTACATTCCTAACCCACGAAGGATATATCGTGGCCAGCATGAGCCATGCAAGTGCCTTGAAGCAGATGCTGGCACATTTCTCCATGAGCAAGCTTCATAAAGCATATCCCAAAGTGCCTTTTCAGTCTGGGCACTGCCCTGCTTTTAATGAAGTAATTGTTATTTGATGGTTTTTATCAGAGCCAGGGGAATCTCAAGCCTCACTTCTACTACAGAAGCTTGGTGGTGTAACATGCAGCATGGTTTGATGGATCAGTGCTCCTCAGGGGGGTACAGACTATGGCAGCTGCCCAAACCCACAATAAACTACCTGGCATCAACATTCCTTTCCCTTCCCACCACATAGAGACGTTGTCCAGTGTAGTTATGTCAGCCCCGGGTGTGAGATTTCTTCTCCCTCCTAATAGACATTGTCGTGCCAGCAAAGCTTCACAAGGAGCCCAGCCTCAGGTGAGGGGTGTTTTGCAGCCAGTCTCACTATGGAGATGGAGACCTTGTTGTTGCTGGTTCAGGCCCTGTGATTTATCCAGACCTGAGGAAAAGCAGCCCTTGGTTCTTCTAGGAAAGCCTCTGTTTCTTGGCTTACAGTGGTTAAATCCCAAGTGGAAAGTAGTATGGATGAACATTAGGATTTGTGTTTTTTGTTTGCCTTGCAGTTGGTAGCTCGTGTCTCTGACTACAGCAACCATTTAAAACTGCCCTGTAGGAATGCTGCTGTATCTGAATTTACTTCTAGGACCTTTGCTGAGCACCTCATGTGGAGACACAAGCTGTGAAGGGTTCAGATGTATCATATCCCCACGTCATTGGTGTTGCTAGCTTGGGGGTCAGAAAGCATTTCCCCTTTGCTTGCTGTTTGTTGGCAGGGCAGCTTGTCCTTTATCAGACACCTGCTGGCTTTTTTGATCTGCTTTTCATTAACCTGTCAGCAAAGAGATGACTGCTCGGGTTGTCTTGTTGTTCTCCTTTTCTTCCCCACCCAGGAGAGGCTGAACTCCTACCAGTGAATCATTCCTGCGTAGGTATAAAGCTCTGGAGTCGCTTTAGCCTGAGAAGCTCTCCTACGGAGCAGGCAGTGATTCAGAGGAGAGCAGTGCAGGCAACTGTTTAACCAAGGCACAGTGCAAACTTGTGCACAGGCTGTGGATCAGGGAATTTCTGGCTATGGAACCTGCTCTATGGCAGTGTTGTGGACACTGCTGTGGAAAACAAGGGGATTATTTTACCCTGCACCGAGTGGCTTAAAGGCAGAACAGATTTATTGTGGTTTAGAACTCAGCTCTCCTTTCTGGTTCGTGATCCAAGCAAAGTCCCTCTGTGCATCCCGGAGGTGCATCCCTTGCACCTTTTCCTGCATTGACGAACCAAGGTGACACCCAAAAGTCACTTGCTGTCCTGGTCACCAGCATTAGTGGGATTTCTGCAGTGCTGGACTGCATTTTTCTCCATTGGACTCGTTTTTCATTATGTGGAATAAGATCCTCCGTGAAGAACTGTGTGCAGTCTGTAACTGAACACCTGTGTATTACTCATTGCTTCATTTGTCTCTTTATTTGACTGCTGTAAAAGCATCCGTCTCAGACCTATCACCTCCAGCTTTGACATTGCCCCAAGTCAGGATGAGACCTGCATTCGGGGGATGGCTGCTCCATCTGTGGCAGTGTTCAAGGCCAGGTTGGATGGGGCTTGGAGCAAGCTGCTCTACTGGAAGGTGTCCCTGCCCGTGGCAGGGGTTGGAACTGGATGAGCTTTAAGGTCTCTTCCAATCTGAACCAGTCTGGGATTCCATGATTTATTCTTGAGGAGGACCGACAGGAGGTGATCAGTGATCAGTTAAAGCCCCCATAGCCACACTTTGTGATGCTCAGGGCTCGTGTTTTGTTAAGTGATTTGGAGTTGATGCAGACATGGGGTTTGTGGGAGATTTGAGGCTTTCAGGTGTTCAGATGCATTTGGCTGCTGCGGATTGTGGTGTTGCCACATCCAAAAAGCAACACTCTGCTTACATAGATGGAAGCTTGTTAAGGTCATAAACAGAGGGATGGCATCAATACTTGGTAAAATAGAAGGGGAAATACTCAGCTGTTTGAAGGGATTAAACCAACTTGAAGCCTATGGTATAATCTTGTTCCTGGGACAGGGTTTTCCGTGCTGTCTGCTTGAGGAATACCCTGCCTGCCACTATGAAGCCTTACCCCATAAATCCCGGGTTTGCCGAGTCCCACTCCCAAAGCTGCTCACTGCATTTCCAGCTGTGTGTGTTGGCGAGGCGCAGTGACCCCAATGTCACCAGGACTCCTCATTGCTGTTGTGGTTTCTTTGAACCAGCCTCACTCTGCTGGACCCTGATGACAGGGCTCTGGGGTTGTCTTTGCTCCCTGGGATCGGAGACAGGAGCTGGGGAGAGGGATTGCTGGTGCTGCCGGAGGCTTTAGAGCCTCGCAGAGCTGTAAAGGCTTCCTCACAAAGCAGCACAGCCTTTTCTACCCTGGGATTTGTTCTTTTCAATAGAGCTCTTCTGGTTTTACCTCACCTACACAATGGCACTTTTGTTGGGGGAGGCCTCTCGGCCTCAGGAAGAGAAGTTGACATCCAAGGGCATTGTGCTGCGTCCCATGGGAATGCTCAGCCTCTCCTTCCAATCTGCACGGGGTTATTTGTGTCACCCACTTCTGCCCTGTGTGACTCCCCACATCCTTCCACTGTGGAGGGACTGGCTGGTGTGAATGGGGACCGATTGCACCCGTGTGGCACTGCGGAGAGAAACGGAACAGGAGGTTTGGAGGCACAGCTCTCTTCCCTTTGTAGGCTCCTGGTATTTATTCTGGAGAGGATAAACTGCATCCCTTCGAGTCAGCTGCCTTAGTTTGCTGTTACATCCAACAAAGACAGTAATGTTTTCATCTTGCAATGGCTTGAGAAGGCTCGGAAAGCCCTGGAATGGAGCGTGCGGCCGCAGCTGCAGCGAGGGCCATTCACACTGCAGGTGTGCTGGAAAGAGCACTCGGAGCCAAACGTCCTCCACGCTCAGATATGATTAGGCACTCCTTTGTTCTGGAGCCCACTAAGACCACTAGAATGAGAGTAAAGTTACTGCCAGCGCATTTCTTTGTGCTCATGGATTGCAACCCGCGTTGGTCCGTGCACACGAGGTGACCGGGTTTGTTGCTTTAGCCTTTTGCATTCGCCCAGCTCTCAGATGCTGCTCACTGTCCGGTATTCCATGTGAGATCCTTCGGGATGCTCCCACCTGCAGCTGCTTCGCTGATGAATGTGTCTTTGTGTTCAGTTCTCCTGTTATTTCTGCACTAGCACCAAAGCCAAGTCTCTGCTGAGTATGGGACCTTGGAATATCTGTAATTGGAATTACTGTCACTCCAGTGCTTGCTCGCCCTGTAGAACGTGTTATGCTTGGCCTTGCCTGACTTGAGACCAACCTAAACCTAAACCGAGGTGGTTTTGCCTGTATTTTGTTGTGCAGTGTCCAAAAAGCACGGCAAGCTCATCACCTTCCTGAGGACATTCATGAAGTCGCGCCCAACCAAGCAGAAGCTGAAGCAACGGGGGATACTGAAGGAAAGGGTGTTCGGCTGTGACCTGGGGGAGCATCTTCTCAACTCTGGCCATGACGGTAAGAAACACTCCGTTCTTGACTTCTTCCTCTGTTGGGGATCTTACTTGAGGGTGATGGTGACCAGTAAAGGGCTAGTTGGGGCTAGCAGAGAAACAGGTAACGGAAGAGAAAGCTCCAGGGAGACCTTAGAGCAGCTTCCAGTGAGTAAAGGGGCTACAAGAAACCTGGAGAGGGGCTTTTTATAGAGAAGGTAGGGATAGGATAAGGGGTCATGGAAGGAGTTAGGTTTAGACTAGATCTAAGGCAGAAGCTCTTCCCTGTGAGGGTGCTGAGGCGCTGGCACAGGGGGCTCAGAGAAGCTGTGGCTGCCCCATCCCTGGCAGTGTTCAAGGGCAGGTTGGACACAGGGGCTTGGAGCAAGCTGCTCTAGTGGAAGGGGTCCCTGCCCATGGAACTGGATGAGCTTTAAGGTCCCTTCAACCCAAACCAGGCTGGGGCTCTAATAGGAAGCAAACGTGGTTGATGTGGGAGTGCTGGAGCTGGCAATGAGTTCTCAACCTTTCAATGTCTCTGAGTAAAGAGTGAATAAGGGTTTTTTTTATTCTTTTTTTTAAGGGAAATAGACTTTATTTTAGACTTCACTTAGAAATTAGACTTTATTTCCGTGTCAGTGTCAATGAATGATTAACTGGTGCGTTAAATCCATACGTTTCTCTGACTCGGGACCTTACAGTGTAAATCCTTCCTTTGCCTTCTCCCTTGGTTTCACAAAGCTCACAGGAGTTCAATGGGCACAACGTTTGATCACAGTTTCCTCTTCCCTCAGCTTGTCAGGGTGAGGTTTCTGTAGCTCTTCTCAGTCCCTTTCACTTCCCATCAGCAGTTGAGGGAGGCAGCAGAGAAGTTCTGCCCTTCCCAAGGAAAACTTGCGCTGTTGTTAGTGCTCCTCCTTGGATGAACTTTGCTTTCACGTGCTCTTTCCTACCCTCTCACTTTGGGGTTGGGAGGTACCTGCATTGCTGTGGAGCAAACCCAACGCAGGGATTCTTTCATGGCTCGCACGGTTTCAACATGCACTCCCTGGCTTTACACAAAGTGTTTTACTACCGGTTGGTGAATAACATGAGCTTGTTCTTATGGAACCAGGGCTGTAGCAAGGCTCGTTGGCTTGCTAACTGGAGCCAGTCTTTATTGCTGGGCCTTGAAAAGCATCAGAGAGCCAGAAACAGGGTGGTTTGGAGACAGAAACAGACAGTAAGCCATGGAAGAACTACATTAGGGGTAGGTAATTCACACCACCAGCTAGCTCGAGAGCTGGGTTTATGTTCATGCTGTGGGAGCAATGTGGGAGGGCAGGAGGCACGCCAGCAGAGTGAGCTCATTCACAGGAAAGAGAGAGTTCTCTTTTATCCCCAGCCCTCCCCCTGCCCATTTTAGCTAGGCAGAAGTCAGCAATAACTAAAGCTTATCCCTGGCTTGGCGTGCGTTGCATTTAGCATTAAAAGGCACATCCTGAGCTCAACTGGATTGTTCTAAGTCCACCGGAGGCTCCTGTTTGACAGTCACCTCCCATCACGTGTGCCTGAATGACTGCTGCACAGGGCTAATGAGGCCTCTTCACCTGAGGAGCTGCCAGTTGCTTTCAGCCTTGATTACTAACTCTTTCCTAACTGCCTGGAGTGGAGCAGGTCCAATTTGGATGCTGCTAACAGGGGCATGTCTCCTTTTCGCACAGCAGGGCTGGTTCTGGGTGTGATTCAGCTCTCTGACCTGTATTCCAAGTGATGTAATCCTGGGGTTGGTTTTGTGGAGATGTTGCTGTTTTCCTGGGAGCCAGGCTCCGTGCATGAGCAGCGTTTCAAGATTCCCTCATCCCATAGCATTAATGTTGCTCAGTCTTGGAGGCAGCTGCTGAAAGGGGATGGAGATGCCAGAGCAGACCCCGGGTGGAATTGGAGAGAGCAAAGAGCTCGGCTTCCTCACCTCATAAGCAGAACATAACCAGGTAGTTTTATGGGAGCACAGTGTTTGAAATGAGCAGGAAGGTGTTCACGTGCTCCTCAGAAATGCAGTGTGGAACCAGGCTGCAGTTATGTTCAGAATCCGGTTCATTGCCAAAGCCTAAAGAGGGGCTCTTCACCGGGGACTGTAGCGACAGGACAAGGGGTGATGGGTTTGAGCTGAAACAGGGGCAGTTCAGGTTGGAGATAAGGCAGAAGCTCTTCCCTGTGAGGGTGCTGAGGCGCTGGCACAGGGGGCCCAGAGAAGCTGTGGCTGCCCCATCCCTGGCAGTGTTCAAGGCCAGGTTGGACACAGGGGCTTGGAGCAAGCTGCTCTAGTGGAAGGCATCCCTGCCCGTGGCAAGGGTTGGAACTGGATGATCTTAAGGTCCTTTCCAACACAAACCAGGCTGGGATTCTGTGCTTCTATGCAGCACATTCAGTGTAACCTCTGGCTCAGGTGGAGGCCGTGTTCCCTTTGGAGGTAGAGAGACTTTTTTTCCCCTATTTTTCTTTGCCTCTCACCAAATCGAACTTAAATTTAGCTTGACCCCAATTAGAAAGCATTGTGCTTGCAGAGGCTGTGTTTGGTTAGTGTGGGAGCTGGTGAAGTGCTGCATTGCAGCATCTGTGCCATGTCCTCATTTGTGCCTCTGAGTACGTTGAAACAGAGCGTTCTATGGCTTCAGGGTGCCCAGAGAAGCTGGGGCTGCCCCATCCCTGGCAGTGCTCAAGGCCACGTTGGACACAGGGGCTTGGAGCAAGCTGCTCTAGTGGAAGGTGTCCCTGCCCGTGGCAGGGGTTGGAGCTGGAGGAGCTTTAAGGTCCCTTCCAACACAAACCAGGCTGGGATTCTGTGAGTCCATAAGAAATAAAACAAGCACCCGGTGTCCATGTGGCTTGTTGGGGTTCCTCCAGTGTTACCTGTTCCTTCGAGCCATGCCCTGGCTACAGCTGAGTGATGCAGTTGCCTTTGGTGCTCATTTATTGCAGATTTGAGCTAGGGAAGAGTGCTGGGATCAGAACAGGAACATAAGGAATGAGATCTTGGGCAGCATCTTGGCAGGGATCTGTAGAGACCTGGTTCCCCTTAGCTCAAGGGTAAGGTTGGTCATGTCTGTGTTGTCACTTTGGTTCATACTTTTAATGTGAGGAGTCCCATTTCCTAAGAGTTTTCGTGGTAATAAACATCTCCCTGGCTGGCTTTGGGTCTTTGCCACCCCGATTTGGAGTTCAGGACAGCTGAGTCTTAGTATTTAGCTTATATGGATGTTTCAGAGGGTAAACGCAACCATTTTCCCCTCTGTCCCTCTTGCTGCTAGAGAGTGAAATAGAACAGGACAAACCAGAAGCGAAGCAAACTTTGCTGGAAAGGAGAAAGTTATAAATATTTACAGATTTGTTGCTTTTCCCCCTTTTCCTTTCTTCAAACACTAGATTGAATTGTAAGCACAAGGCACGTCCTGGAATCCAAGAAGGCATGGGTGAAATCCCTGCTTGTGATGGCCTGGACCACAAAGGGGATTGCTTTGCACCAAGGTTTTTGCTTCAGAAAGTGCTTTCATGAGAAATAGCTCCTGAAGCTTTAGTACAGACTCATGGAATGGTTTGGGCTGGATGGAACCTTAAAGCTGAAGGAATATTGCTCAGGGAAAGAGTAAAGCCAACTCCATGAGCACAGTTTTGCTCATGGGAACATGGAATTGGAATGGGCTTTGTGCTGGGTTTAACAAACACAGACACCAGTTCTGGTGGGCCCTGAGGTTTCCTGAGCAGAGATGACTGGGGCTGGAGGCGTATCCTGTGTGTTACCCGGTGCTGAAGCGGCTTGTTTGTGGTGGCCATCAGGAGCTGGGTGCTGAGCTAAGGCAGGCCTTGATGGCTCTTGATACAGACCACATGTGTCATCAAGTCTGGTTGGCAGAACTGCAGGAAACCAGAACTATTAACTAACATTAGTGGAATTTTAGTGTAGATGCTCCTGCATCCTGTGACAAGAAACCCCCAGTGTTACGGTTGTGATTGGTTTGGGATCCAGAAGCTGGAATCGGGCTCTGAACTGGCAAGTTGACGTAGGGATTTATGCCACAGGCAGGGAGAGGGGCCTGAGAAAGTCACAACACGGTGACAGAAGCCACTGTTGTAACCTCAAGCCTCAGCCTGTGCTGTCATCTCATCGTTACATGACACGGTCCCCTCCAGGTGTGTGTCTATACATGCAGGTAAGGATGTAGCTGGAGGGCTTGGGACTCAAAGGGCAGGACAATGAAGTCACCATTCCAGCCAAGGGCTTCAGGTATCGCTATAGCCCTCCTTGGATTGCAGCCACTTCTCCAACCCAGCAGAATTCCCCCAAAATATCCATGCTGCTGCCATGATATATTTAGCTTAAAGAACAGCTCGTCCTGGTAACCAGATTAGGAAATGCATAGAGCAAGTCTGCTGAAGCTTTTTCAGTGTCTGGTTGTTATTCTGGCTCTGTCCGTGACAAGTAAGGACTTTGGGAAGCGTATTGTAGGTGCTGCATCCCTCACCCTTCCCCCTGTTGTCCCTTGACCCGGTTCACATTGTCACAACAGGTTGCTGCTCAGCTCAAATACCATAAATACCATGCAAACACTGTTCTCAGCGTGCTGTTTGTTGACCCAGCTCCATAAACCCCAGGGGGTGAGGCCTTGGAGCAGTGCATAGCTCTAGAAGGTCCCACACGCAGTGTGTGCATCACCCTTCCTTGGGCATTATCGGCCTCCTGGTAGGAATTGGGCAGGAATGTGCTATGTATTTATTTGTTTATGTATTTCTTTCAATGGGGAACCCTAATGAGATTCAAATGTGGATTGTTAAAGGCTTTGGGATTGTGGAGCTGAGCATTAGGGGCTTGTTCGAGCATTGGGCTTGGGTCAGCCTGGAGAAGAGAAGGCTCCTTAAGGGGAGACCTTAGAGCAGCTCCAGTGCCTAAAGGGGCTGCAGGAAACCTGGAGGGCTGGAATCTCTTTGCAGGAAGGGTTAGAATTTAGAATTTAGGGCCATTTTGTTGTGCCCTGTGCCCTGGTGAACAGCACCAGTGCCCTGTGCTCAGGACTCCCCTGCTGATTGCTAGGGAACCCATTAGTATGGCTCTTTCCTCAGGCTGCAGAGGGGGGAAGCACAGAGCATCTGAGTGCAGGGGAATGGCCTCACAGATGGCATTTGCTGCTTGATGGAAGGGGATTTGCCACTTGACCTGTTCAGGATCTGTCCCGTGGCAAGGTGATCAGACCTGTCATCTAACGTAAGGATAAATGTAGATTGGCACAGGAGCTTATGGAGGGATCCACTGGGATCTGAGCTTTTCCCATGCGGATTTGCTGATGCTCACAAGAGCCGAGTCCTGATTTTCCTTCGGTGTTCAGGGCAGTTTTACCTCCCTTTTATTAAGTGATTTGCTCCTTCTTCAGCTTCCAAGGGTGCACAGATAGCGCCAGCAGTGGGTGCTGCATGAGGCCGAGAAGTCAGCTGGAAGGAATTGGTTGGTGAAGCGGTTTGTGTATTAACTTGACACCTAATTATAGCCTCTGGGCTTATTCTTTCCATTCTGCCATAGCCTGGTTTGTCTGCAGCTTCTGTGAGTGGGGCACATTGTGTAGCTTCTAAATCCAGTCACGCTCTGGTAGACATTAGGGGGGGAAACTCTCAGTGGTAAAAGCTAAAACTGGCCTGGCTCTGGTACAGAAAGCAGCATCTCCTTAATGTTTGCATTTGCTTAAGGCAAGGGGTAAGGGTTAATCCTGGGTAGATTTGCAAACAAAAGAAATCTTTGGCTAATATTGTGTCTTTACTCAATATTGTAGCTCTCCTGGCGTGGAATTTCATGTCCATGGTTCTTGTGGGAGGTGTGATGGGACCTGCGCTCTCTCTGCTTGACCACAGTTGACTCTGTTCAACCTGATTCACATCCTGGCATTTCTTTAGAGCAAAGGAAACCTCTGACCGCTTTCCACACCAACTCCTAAAGTGAAATTCCTTACAGGCTCTCTCCTCTAAGAACTGAAGGAAGAACTAAAGCAATAGCTCAGCTGGGTTTAGTGTATGGCGCCTGACAAGACCGCAGCCTGCACCAGGACTTCAATCACATGCTCAACTAACCAGCGACACTTGCTCCTTAGTCCCACAGGTCCTCAAGAGCTGCACTGAATTCATTGAGAAGCATGGCATTGTGGATGGGATATATCGTCTGTCCGGGATTGCATCCAACATCCAGAAACTGCGGTAAGGGCACCACGTCTGACCCACTGGGATGGGCTCTTCACCCTCTGGTGTGAAGCAGCAGAGACCCCTTCTGTCCCCCCAGTCTGGCTTCTATCACACATCATTGTGTCTGGGGGAAGGCAGGAGCTGCTTCCTCACCCTGTAAGGGATGTAGGGGTGATGGCTGCAGTTACAAATGCACCTGGTGCCTTGGACACAGGTACAAATGGGCTCCATTGTGTCGGCGGAGAGGTGAGCTCCGTGTATGAGCTCTGCTGAAGGTGCACTTTATCTTGGCTACAAGTTGCCTGGCTTGGACAGGGGGAGAGGCCGGGGATGTTGCCACCAAGCCCCTGACATTGTGGTTTCAGTGTAGACAGTTGATGGGCAGGTTTGGTTTGCAGCTTAAAGCCCCTCGTAGGGAAGCACAGCTTCAGCGGGAGCAGCCGTGTTCTCTCAGCCCCTGCCAGTCTGTCTTCCTGATTCAAACCAGCACTTTCCATGCACATATTCCAGCAGCTCAGCTTTTGTTTCATAAACGGTTGTGATTTGGGTTTTCCTCTCTCTTGGAAAACCAAGGGAATGCTCAGGGATTTTCTTCATGTGGTTCCTGGCTCACCTCCCGCTTTAGCAGAGGCGTGTCCCCAGGGAATTTCTGCTCTCAAACCAGTTTCCGTGTGCTGATAGCACTGCTGGCGGGCATTGCTTCCTCTTCTTGATTTCCAAGCCTTTGCAATGCAAAGGGACAGCAGCTTCCCCTCAGACCTGGGCACTCTGCTCCAGCAGGCAGCCCCCAGTCGCGGTTAAACCTTCACATTGCCTTTGTGCTTGTGGAAGACATGCTCAGCCTTTGGGAAAAGCCCTGTCGCAGCAATAGGGCTTGCAGGCCAGGCAGTCGGTTGTAAAACTAACTGGAGATGCCTTATCAAACCAAAAAGGTCTTCTTTTTGGAAAGCTCCACTCCAGCAGCACCACGGCCATGGGGCACACGGCTTTGGGCACTAAGGGTTCATGTTTTCCTGTGGATCAGGATCTACTCTCTCTCCTTGACTGTAATTTGCACTGGTTTTTCTTTTCATCCCTCCTTTCCAACCCCCTTTGCCCATTGTCCTGTTCTCATCTCCAGCCACGAGTTTGACTCCGAGCAGATCCCTGACTTGACAAAGGATATTTACATCCAGGACATCCACTGCGTGGGCTCCCTCTGCAAACTGTACTTCCGTGAGCTCCCGAACCCTCTGCTGACCTACCAGCTCTATGAGAAGTTCTCAGTAAGTACCTTTGGCTTTCCACTTCAGCTTCACTTCATCCACATGGAGAAACACTGCAGAGGATCCAGCAGGAAGCTGAACCTGTCTTACACACGCCTTTCTTTGCCTTACTTCTGCTTAAGTTGGGGTTTTTAGATCAAATCTGTACCCCCTTTAGGTTTACTACCATGTGCTGTTGTCCCCTGTGCCACACCATCTCAATTCCAGTTGTGGGGCCCCAGGTCGAGGCTATTGGGACATAAGTAAGAATTCCCCTATATCGTTTGCCATCCCCCAGTGATTACCTGAGCGTGACTGGGGTTAGAAGCAAGCACTGCTTGGAGCTGGAGACCCTCTGTAAGGAATGGCTCAGTTGTATCAAGGGTGATGATTTACAGCCTTGCTGGAAGGAGGGAATGCAGATTTCTCTTTCCAGTCTCACCTGTAGGAATAATTGCTGTCTCATTCCTGCTTCTCTGTGTGTGTCCACATTCAACAGCAGAACAAATCGATTCATATCCAGCTCTGTGGTTTTGCCCCCATTTATATGCATGGATAAAATAAGCCCCAAATCCCAGGCAGTGCATCGAAAATTGCTTGTTTTGCACCCGTGTCATAAAGGTAGCTTTAAAACCAGTCAATCCCTCAATTCTTCCCCCCTTTTTTCATCCCTATTTCAGAGCACAAAGGCACCTTCCCCACCTCTGGTTCCCTTTTGAACATCTGGGCTGAAAGGCTCCATTTTTAGGTCTGATTCTGAAAGTCTTTATTTCAGTTTTCTTATTGTAGGTACTGAGGTGCCAGCATGAGTTGTCCTGAACGGTTGGACTTGATGATCTTAAAGGTCTTTTCTAACCTCTTTGATTCTGTGATGCTAGAAAGTGGCCCAGATCTTAATGTACTTGGCCTTTCTCACATTATCTGTGTGCTGCTCTGTCCCCACAAGGTAAAGACCAGCACAATCCACCTCACTGCTGCAGAGGCCACGTGGATCCAGACGATGCATCAGGTATTGAGGCTTATTTGCAGCTAAATCCCTTCCTGTCTCGTTCCAGGATGCTGTTTCTGCTGCTACAGATGAGGAACGGTTGGTGAAAATCCACGATGTCATCCAGCAGCTGCCCCCTCCTCACTACAGGTCAGTGTCATGATGGGTTCTAGCTCAAGTTTGCTCCTTAGCAAACACTATCTCCTGTGCATAGTGTTGTTTGCCTGCCTTGGAAACTACGTTTGGAGGCAAATACAGTGTTGGAGTAAACTGATTATAATCTGGGGTTTAAAAAACACCAGCTAACTGTAATATATTCCAATTTATTATTCAATAATCTGTGAGTTATTGTGTAACTCACAGATTAGTTACTAATTTGTGTTATTAGAGTGTAAGTAATTGTGTTTAGTAGCCCTGAGTATTAAAAGTTATGGTAAAAAGGCATTAGACACAAAAAAGCTGGTGATTGGTATTAATAACTAATATAATAGTGTATGATAATGAGTCTTTTAGTAACTAAGTGTTGTAATGGGGTGTGCTAAGTTCTCTTCAACTATGTATTCTAATGGCTGGGTGCAACTCCTAAAGTGATTTGGATATCGATAACTACTTATTGTGTAAAGAATATTAAGCAAGCAACAAGATAAAGCAAAGTAAAACAGTGTTAATTTATGCTAATGTATGCTAATTTATCCTAGTAAATGCAAATATACTTGGGTGAGAGGATCTGGTGATCGGACCCTATGCAGATTTATGCTAATACATTGAAATGAGGGGATCTGGTGATCTTGGTTTTTAGCTCTGTGCAGATTCATGCATGTACATTGAAATTTATGTTAATGATACTAATTTATGCTAATAGATTGAAATGAAGAGGACCTTCCATGTTCTGACTCTATGCAGATATAGGCAGAAATATTAAATTGTATGTTAATGAATGATAATTTATGCTAAAAATTGAAATGAGGGGACCAGCTAATCTCATGTCCCGCCCGACTCTATTGAGTAGTATGAGGGTTTATGTTAATGCATTCCAGTTTATGCTAATATATTGAAATGAGGGGATCTGTTGATCTTGTTTTTGAGTTCTGTGCAGCTTAATGGGGTATGGAAATGTTAATGTGTTTATGATTAGATACTATAACTATTTGAATCATTGTAATGTGTGGTGGTTAGCTGGGCCATTGCAGTGCTGTTCCTGAGTGCTATAACTGTCTTACCTGTTACTTCAATATCAATAATTAACTCTGTGGGCATTCATCTGAGCTAATCATTGTTAACTAATGTGTTATAAGCTATAAATGTGTTAGTGTGGTAGCTGGTACTTTGTGTTGACTAATGGTGATGCTCTATATATGTTAATCAAGGGGATAGGGCCTTGAGGGGACCTCACAAGTGATCTCCTTTTCTCTAGTGTATTCCACCTTTACCCTAAAATGCCTCTTCATTTTATGGGGGTGACTAAAAGACTTGGAGCTAGTGAGTCCTCTGTGTGTGGTGTAGCCCTAGGCCAGAGGGAGAACATGGGAGACACCAGGATGCAAACCAGTGCACAAAGAGGGAGACTTCATTGTTGCGCTGCTCTATGCAGAGAAGTTCCATGGAGTGCTAGAGCTCTCCGTTTTCTTGCCAGCTGGAAACATCCATCCTCACTCCAGGCCTTGTCCCTGTGAAGTTTAACCTTTCTATGTATGTACAAGAGGCCTGGAGGCAGTCATTTCGTAGGTAGACTCAGACACAGTGGAGTTTTATGGCACAGTGTTACAGTAAAGCAGCCAAGCAGTGAATTTCCAGGGCACTCTGCTTCTGGATCCAGCCCTTGGACTGAGTAGCTTTTCCTTGAGCCTACACAAACAAGGACAGACACCCCCAGCCCAGTGTAATTATTTGCTAAAGACCACTTCACCATCACTCTTAGGGTACATAGTGCAATGTTTTATTTCCTGGGAGCTGTCAAACCGAAAGAAACGAATGAAGTGGGGTTTGTTTTGTAAGCCACAGCATGGCTCTGCTCATCCGTGCTGAACATTGGCCTATCTCCTCTTTTCCAGGACACTGGAGTTCCTAATGAGGCATTTGGCTCGTCTTGCTGATTATTGTTCCATCACAAACATGCACACCAAGAACTTAGCGATTGTCTGGGCTCCAAACCTCCTGAGGTACTCTTTGGCTTTTCTCCCCCATTTCAATACAAGATGAGGTTTTCCATTTCCATAAAACCAGATAGCTGCTCTCCAGCAAACCCACAGCTTTCAGCAGGTGAGGAAGAGCTTCCTTTCCTCCATCCAGTGTGCTCTTTTCCTCCTCTGAAACCTGCTAATGGGAACAAAGCACAAGCTCAAGGCCAGCTCCTGACCCAGCAGTGTAGTTCAGCCACAACCCTGGCCCCTGTTGTACTGGTTCCTGGGCTGCTTTTGTGTCCAGCCTGAGAAATGTGAGAAACCTGAGTCATAGATTCCCCCTGTGGACACTTAATTAGGGTAAGCTCTTTTCTCCTTGCTGGCACTTCACCCCCAAGCAGTCAAATGATGCCTTGTTTGAGTTTGCTGCTGTGAATATTGGGGTACTGGCTGGGCAGGGTCAGTGGGAGACAATCCCTGCCCCTGAAGTCCTGCCTGAGGAACCAGGCACAACGTGCCAAAGCCTTACCCACAAGGAGCACATCTCCAAGTGTTCTTCTGGCTGTTGGTGTTTCATTTCCTCTGCCTTCTCTTCAGATCAAAGCAGATAGAGTCTGCCTGCTTCAGTGGAACCGCTGCCTTCATGGAGGTGCGCATCCAGTCAGTGGTTGTGGAATTCATCTTGAACCACGTGGATGTCCTCTTCAGTTCCAAGCTCAGCTCAGTCATACGGGATGGAGCAGGTGAGTGGCTTCCTCTAGGAGCTGCACCTTGATCAAAAGAGGTAGCAGGCACTTAATGGGCATCTGGGACATTGAAAATGCATTTGTTCTATAAGCTAAAGGACAGATTTCCAGGCAAATGCAGCCTGGTGTTAGAAACTGCTGTTAGCACCTTTCCTAGAAGCCAAGGATGCTCCACATAAGCATGCATCTTTAATGGTTGGCGGCTGCTTTTATGTTCTAGCACTGAGAAATTGTAAGTAACCTCCTAAATCTGTGTACCCCTTGCTCCCTTCCCTTTCTTTTTAAAACCATCCTCAAGGATGCTCCTGCATGTCCATTCGAGCTGCCTTGCAGTACCACACCATGCCTCACCAGCACCAAAGAGAAACCAAGCAATTTAAAGCAAGCTTTCTGTATTCACTAATGGAATACAGATTAAGTAAGGAACTTAACAGGGAGTGCTTTGGCCTCTGCTGTAAGTATGCCCATTCCATTGAAAAGGAGCAGAGTTGCATCAAGGAAGTTTACTCCCTGTTAGCTCAGCAAACTTGGGTACCACGAGCTGTTACTACTCCTAAGCAGCAGTCAGCCTGTACCATCAGCTTTGATAACCTGCCTTTCCTATGAAACGTACCCATCCTTTGCAGGTACAACCAGCTGTGGGGTACAGATAGTTGGGTTTCCAGTGTATTTACTGCTGCCCCTTTTAAACAACTCCTCTTAGACAGCAGAGTTGCTCCAAGTGTGGCTTCTATTCCTATTGGAAGGCAGTTTCAAGTCAAGAGGAGCCAGAGGTTAACTTGGCTGAACAGGAATAGGCCACAGCAAGCTGAGCAGTGCCAGGGCAAGATAAGCACACTAAGAATCAGAGCCAAATAATTATCCAGGCTTAGAGTGGACCATGGAAATTCAGCTAATTGTTCAGTGACTTGGTCATTCACAGTCAGTGTGTGCTCTGACACAAAACTGGCAGGGAGATGGCTCAGGCTCTTTGACAGCACATGAGGCAAGAGCAGGCAAGGCAGCATCTCTTCAGTGCTTCCAGGAGCCTGGCTTTGAGCATGGCTTCTTACCCACTTCCACCCCTGAGAGGTGAAAGTGGTATTCCCAAGCCTGCTTTAAGCCACTCCAGGTAAGACAAACAGAGCTGGAACCCAAACTTCACCTTGGGATAGCATTTACAGCTGACAAACACATACACTGCACAAGAGCTGGGGTGCTGTAGGGAAGGAACCAAGCAGGGTGTAGATGCAATGGTATCCTTCCCCCTGACCCCTTAACTCACACACAGCACTTCTGTTGCACCAGGAGGTGGAACCTGGGGCTGACCAAAACTGTGTAAGAATGAACCCATAGCTTTCTTTACAGGCTTTTGCATGCAGGTGAAGCTTAAGGAAGGCTTACGTTCATGTGGGTTTCTAACCTCCTTGCTTCTTTAAAGGAACTGAGCTGCTCTCAGTTATGTGTATTTGTGTTTGCCATAACCATATCCCTAACAAAAGGGTTACTCTGACCACGTCTTTCAGTGGCTGCGATAACAAAGCTTTAGGAAAACACAGCACCTCCCTAGACACACAGAGCAGAGCTTTGATCTCCGTACTGCTGTGTTCTCATTCTCCTCTTGCCTGTGGTTTTCCCTTGTAGGGCACAGCTCTTTATCACGGCCCAAGTCTCTGTTGGTGTCCTCTCCTTCCACCAAGCTGCTCACACTGGAGGAAGCCCAAGCACGGACACAAGCCCAGATCAACTCTCCCATCGTGGCAGACAGCAAATACATCGAAGTGGGAGAAGGCCCTGCAGCTTTACAGGGGAAATTCCACACAGTCATAGACTTCCCATCCGAAAGGTAGGGACGAGTTTCCTTTCCAGCACGTGTTATAACTGGTTTGGGGTTTTATCACAGCAAAAACGTGCCAGTATTGACTTACACTAATCATACCTGGAGGAATGTAGCCAGTTTTTCCACCTGCTTTGGACTCTGTGAGGATTCAGCTCAGATCAGCTGTCTGCTGCACTCAGTTTAGCCATGTCACTTCTGTGCCACTGCCACCTCTTCAGCAAGGTTATTACATGTATAAAGCCGTGTTGTGTGTTATGCATAGAGATACCTGTACTAGTCACACACACTGACACGTAAGTGGGGTGAACACCTGGAAACATGGGGAGTTTCCAGGTTTCAGGACTGAGTGCCTGGAACAAATCCAGGTTCTGCTCAAAATGGAGCAGTTGAATGGGTACGATGGCAGTGGGAGGAGGCAGATGTGATTTTACAGCATCAGCAAGGGATGCTTTCACAGTTCATAGAGAGCTGGTGCATCTGCCAGCTAAATAAAAGCCGTGCTGTAGGAGAATGGGGCTTAGCTCACCTGCACCACACCAGAAATTTACCCAGCAACACCTCCGGGCTGAGCTATAGGAACAAAAATCATCCTCAGCTATTGGAAAGAGACCGAGTTTCTAAGCTCAGTAAACCAGACAGCGCTAATAGCAACCGACCGGTAATGGGAGCTAAGAGGAGCTTGCCCTGTTTCCTCACTCCAGGAAGAGGCCTCCCAGCAAGATGAAGAAGTCTCCAGTTGGCAGCTGGCGTTCCTTCTTCAACCTGGGAAAATCCTCCTCCGTGTCCAAACGCAAGCTGCAGCGCAATCCCAGCGAGCCCTCGGAAATGAAAGCCATAGCCCTGGCAGGTGAGGCTGCAGATGCAGCTCCCAAAACGCAGGCTTTTCGAGCAGGGCATGCTTCAGATTTGCAGTGTGCTTTTATCTCCTCCTAGCGTTCGAGTCCTGCATGACACCTTCAGCTAACCGCTCTCTTTCCTAAATGGATCTCACGTTAGCTCAGATCTAGAGGACGCACCTCTTAATGCTCTCCTCAGAGTAGCTTGCGAAAGACCATATGTGGGCACCACTGTAATGAGCCTGAGTAATTCCTTATGACACTTCCTATGAAATAATCAGTTCTGTCTCCCTTTGCTGCTCTCACAAGACAGCAGTTAGAGTAAGTAAAGTCACTTTTCCACAAACACCTTCACCCCCAAAGTGTAACGAGAGGCGGCACCCAACAACTGTTTATAGCCACATCCAACGTACATAGGGTGAATTCTCAGCCCTTTCTGTGTATAGTTTACTGTCTCTTTCCCAGTTTATAATAGCAACAAGATATTCTTGTGGTAAAACACACCACAAATCCCTAAACACAGGCTAGTGAGGACTTTTATCCCATCTTTTACCTGGTGCCATTTCCAGATTGAGACTGTTGTAGTCTAACAAACACATGCTATGAATGCCCTTATGGCTGTCCTCTCAGAGTGCTGAAGTCACACTTGTTTAGTGCTCATCAAACAAGTTGTGTAAATGTTACGTTCTTCCCCATTTTTAAGGGGTTTTGTTTGCTGGCAGCAGCCAGCCCATTACCATGGGTACATCCAGACAGGGCCTGCAGCAGAGTGACAGCAGGGTTGTTTCCCAACCTCTCATCTGCAGCAGTTACTATTTAGGTGGGTTACTTTTCCCGGGTCTCTAAAACAAGCACAATTGTTGCTGTTGCTGGAAACCCATTTGTGGGTTTCATGGCCAGATATAAACCACTTCCCTAACTCAGCCTTTCCCTGTCTTGCTGCATTCCCTCAGGTGGACGCGGAGACAGCGGGACTCTTCGCTCAGCTAAGAGTGAAGAATCACTCACCTCCCTGCATGCTGTTGATGGTAAGATGAGTTGGACCTGCCCTTTTAACCTGTGTGCGTTTAAAAAGGCAGTTTGGCATTACTGACTGCTGATTTTCATTTCCAGCCCTCCAGTAAAAGCTGGACTTGCTAACTAATGAAGCAGCTTACTGCTGCCCAACACAGATGGGTATCACACAGAAAGCCTTAGTTCTACAGCACACTTAAACTAGTTTTGCTTGTGCACACAGCTTAGCTCCAGACTAAATCAGACCAGAGTATTTGAGCAAGCACAATAAAGAGCTACTGCTAACTACATTGGTTTGTGTGTAAGAGTTGAGCGGGTGAGCATCTTGCATACCGCCTTAAGACTAAAAAGACCACCAAACCATCACCTCGTGGACAATAAGGTTTGACACAAACCCGTTTCTGTCTATCCTTTTCTAGGTGAATCTAAACTCTTTAGGCCCAGAAGACCTAGGTCCAGTAGCGATGCATTGTCTGCTTCCTTCAACGGAGAGCTCTTGGGAAACATGAATCGCTGCAATTCTTATGACAACCTTCCCCACGATGACAGCGATGGGGATGAGGGGCTCATCCACGTTCCTGCCCTCATTTCTCCTCGGTCTGCTGAAGATGTTGACCTGAGCCCACCTGATATCGGAGTCGCAAGCCTGGATTTTGACCCGATGTCTTTTCAGTGCAGCCCACCCCAAGCAGAGTCCGAGTGCCTGGATAGCAGTACGTCCCTGCTGGAGTCCGTTGGCATAAATAAGGAGAAGCCAAGCCTACTAAAGAAAGATGTAGAATCAGGCAGCCAGTCGCAGACACCAGGCAGTGCCACGAGCTCCGAGCCAGTCTCCCCTTTCCACGAGAAGATGAGTCCCTTCTTCACTCTGGACCTGAGCCCCACGGAAGAGAAGAGCTGCAAACCCCCCACGTTCTCACCCAAGATGGGCCGGAAACCCATCATATCTCCACCACTGACTACACCAGAACCCGTCTCCTTCGCGCTGCCCAGCCGCATGCCAGAAGCCACTGGGGCAGTGCCCGTCACATCCAGAAACTCCTCTGCTTCCAGCTGGAGCAAAGGGATTGGCATGACTGAAATCACAAACAGGTCCCCAACCCAGATGTCCTTGCCCCTGAAAAACAGTGAAACAGGAGCAGGGGAAGGAGCCCATCAAGAGCTACAGCACACGCAGCTAGTGACTGCTGGCAAAGCAGAGTTGCCAGAAGAAGGGGAGAGACCAATGTCAAGCAGTCAGAATAAGACTGTACCCACTGGACACACACAGCCAGGTACAGTGCATTTTCCTCCATTCTTTCTTTAAGTTCCAAAGGGGACCTGCTCTCAGAAACGTCCTTCTCTGCGTGCCTTTTAGGAGAGGGGATTGCCCGTCAGTTCTGATCACAAGTGTCTTGCCAGGGCTATGCAGATCAGTAAGGTCTTAACCTCTGCCTTCTCCCTACATCACACAAATCACATAATACTCCATATACCGCTTCCCCCCCCCCCATCCTGTCATACATGAAAATCTCTAGCATGTCCTTCTAAATCATTGCAGCCAATAGACCACCTAAGACTTTTCTTTGTTAAATTAAGTCTGCCAACACTCGAAGAAGGGACCTTCACGCCTAAAACCTTATGATCAAAATTGTGTAAGGGTGTCTCATTCTCTGCTTCCTACCTCTCTAGAAATGCAAGAGGAGCCTTTAGACAATCTCTTGTGGTTCCCCCCCCCCCTTTTTGTGATGAACTGCTGTGCTGTTGAGCAGCGTTTGCATTGTGAGACACGAGCTCTGAGTCGTGTTTCACCCCAGAAGGAACGGCCACTGTGAATAAGTGTGGAAAGCATCTATTTTTCTATAGTAGGCATTACGCTTAGGTCACTCTCCTTATTGGGTAACGTCAAATCAACTCTCTCTCTCGATTTTCCCCCCATTAGGAGCAGTTGCCCTCGACTCCCCCCAGGATCCTGTTCCCGTCAGTTCTGTGTCTCTTATCCCTCCTCCTCCTCCGAAAAACGCGGCGCGCATGCTGGCCCTAGCGTTAGCCGAGTCTGCGCAGCAAGCGTCCGCTCACTCTCAGAAAAGGCCAGGAGATGCTCATGCTGAAAGCACAAATTATGGAGAGGCTGAAGCTGGCACAGCTCTAGAAAAGCTCCATCTCTCTGCCGGTGCTCCAGACAAGCTCCACCTCTATACTGGTCTGCCCGAGAGCCGACTTCACTTCCAGACGGGTGCACCAGTAGAGCAGGATTTCCAAGGTAGCAGCAGCACACCCGGGGAGCAGAACCACCCACCGGGTGCACCTGGAAGCCAGGACCCCCTTCCACCTCTCCACACCCCCGGGGACGTGCCTGGCAGCAGAGATGCAGAGCAGGAGCAGTCCAGCTTCCATCCTGGTAAACCGGGGGACCAAGACCACTTCCCCTCCTCCCATGCTGGGGACTGGGATCACACCCCCCCCCACCCTCCTGACTGGGAGCCACCCGCAGCAGACTTGCCTGTAGATAAGCCCCAGCTCCGCACCTGTGGGGCTGGGGACAAGCACCACATTCCCATCTGCACAGCTGATGACAAGCTTCAGTCTCCTCCTGTCCTAAGTGCCGGGGAGAAAAGCACCCCGGCCTCCCTGCCGTACTTAGCACCCATCCAGACAGCAGCAGCTGAGCCTCAGCGGGGACCGGCGGGTGCCACCACGACGCAGGCAGAGGTGGTGGTGCCAGCGCCGCGCACAGCACCGGGCAGCAGCCAGCCCGCCCCGGCACAGCGCCACGATCCCCAGGCGGCAACGGGACAAGTGCCGGTGGCCTCCACTAAAGCACCCAGTGCTTCCAATCAGGTACGTGCATGTTCCCTCCCCACCCCAGCCTCACATGGGCTTGTAATCATAGGAGGCTCAGCTCTGGGAGAGTCCCATTCCAAATGGCACAAGGCAGGGGAGTCACAGGATGCTGGGAATCCCACCAGAGCCAGGCTTAGAGGAAGGCAGTGCAGGATTTCCTCAGGAACACCCCAATACAGAATCATGGAATGGTTTGGGCTGGAAAGGACCTTAAAGCTCATCCAGTTCCAGCCTCTTGCCGCAGGCAGGGATGCCTCACAGGAGACCAGGTTGCCCAGGGCTCTGTCCAGCCTGGCCTTGAACACTGCCAGGGATGGGGCATTTACCACTTCTCTGGGTACCCTGTGCCAGTGCCTCAGCACCGTCACAGTAAAGAACTTCCTCCTTATATCCAAACTGAACTGCTCCCCTTGGCTTTAAGGGCTTTAAGAAAGGTATCTGCTGGGGTAACTGGTACAGGGAATGCTAGTTCAGAAGTGCTCAGAACCAAGCGAGAACTTCTGCATCCTCTCCTGTGGTGGATTCCCCAACACTGGGCACTCCAAGATAAGGGTGCTGGGACATCTAGTCTAGGTCATGCTTTGCCTTGAAAGGTTGGACCAAATGATCCTTAAGGTCCCTTCTAACCTGGGATTCTAGGATTCTGCACTGAGATTGACTATGCCCTCAGATTCCTTGCATGAGGGTTGGACATCCAGTCAGAAATCCAAGCTGCTGCAGCCTGTCTGAAGCACCATAGCCGCGTTTAAAGAAGGGGTTTCTGCTGTATCCCTTGAGCTGCTCACCAGGGTGTGAGGAGTTTAATTCCAGGTGCATTTTCATTTGACTAAGTGTATTTGTAAGCAAAACACTGTGGAGAAGTTTCAACCTGTTGCTATAGACAGACAGCTTCTCCCCTTGCCCTAGATTGCCACTTGTGATGGGTCCCAACACCTCCCAGAGGCACCGCCAGCCCCTTGCTTTTGCAGAGTGGGGGAGCTTCCACATCTCCTCTTTTCCAGAGGCACAGCAGCTCTCCAGAGCAAACCAGAACTTAAACTGAACTAATCCATTATGATTTTAAGTACAGAACGGGAGGGGGAAGACTTGTGTCTAACCAGTTCTTTCTCTGTAGGTATGGGCCACAGCCACACCTGAGAAGCCACCGGAGCCCACACCTGGCTTTGTCCCAGAAGGCAGTTCCACCACCCGCTGCTCCTCCTCTTCTGTGCCCACGGGTCACCAGAGCCATGTGGAAAAGCCTCGGGAGATGACGAGGGCTCCCCCGCTGCACCTGCGGTCTGAGTCCGTCCCTACTCACCCCTCCTACAGCTTCACACCCCCTGTCCCACCTGTGAGAACGCTGGAGAGCAAGATCGCTGCCGCCATGCACTCGAACAACGCAGACCCCATCAACAACTCCAACTACCACGCTTTCCTCTCTTCCTCCATGCTGGCCTCCTCCATGGAGGAAGCCCTGCTGCCGCCGCCACCACCGCCCCCTCCTCCCAAGCACGCTTCCCTGCAGACCGTGTACGTGCCGCATCCCAAGCCAGAGAGCATCCCCGAGCCCTCTGGTCCAGACAGCTACCTGCACCACAAACCAGCTTCCGTCCACCAGTACAGGCCCGAGAGCGTTCCTCCGCACATGTACCACAGCAAGCCCGACCAGCACCAAGCCTACCCTCCTCGCTCCGAGACGCCCGCGTCTGCGGGCACTCGCTACAACACCTACACCACCCAAGGGAAGAGCACCTCTGCCCTGCACTCCAAGCCTCGCAGAGAGTTTGTGTCCTCCGTGAGCCCAACGGGGCTGCGCAGCGCCGGCTATGCCGAGGATGCTCCCCCCTACCCCACAATCCGGAGGGTGCAGTCGCTGCACGTGCCCACCCCTGCTGCCTCCGCTATCCGCTCTGTTCCCATTTCACGGACCGAGGTCCCTCCGGATGATGAGCCAGTGTACTGCCCGCGGCCCCTCTATCAGTACAAGCCATATCAGCCCCACTCCGACTACCACGTAACTCAGCTGCAGCCTTACTTTGAGAACGGGAGGGTGCATTACCGGTACAGCCCTTACTCCAGCTCTTCTGCATCCTCTTACTACACCACTGCTGATGGGAGCTTTTACGACCTGGATCCCTACAGCACCGTGCGGGTCCGGCCTTTCCATCCCTTGCCCAGCCGAGACTTTGCCTCCTATGCCTCACGGCTGCAGAGCAAGGGCCTGTACCGCTACCCCAGCTTGTCAGCCTACCCTCGGGGTGGCCTCATCGGCCACCTTGCAGGCAAAGAGCACAGCTTCATCAGCAGAGACGTGCCACCTGCCCCAGACATCAAGCACATGTACATGTCCTGGGACCTGGAGGACATGGAGAAGTACCGCATGCAGTCCATTCGCCGGGAGAGCCGCACGCGCCAGAAGGTGAAAGGGCCGGTGATGTCCCAGTATGATAACGTGGCCCCACTGCTGCAGGAGGATCTGGGAGGACTGGATGTGATACACTTGCGCAGCAAGTCAGATCCTGGGAAAACTGGCCTCCTCACCGTGGCAGAAGGGAAGGAGGGGAGGTACCCGGCCAAAGCAGCTACGCCCGAGGGCGAGGAGCGTTACTACATGCAGCACCCTGAGCCAGAGCTGGAGAGAGCCCACTACCACGGGGCCTACGGGAATGGGCAGTCAGAGAAGCCATCCCTTCCCCAGAAGCAGAGCAGCATCCGGAACAGGAAGCTTCATGAGCCAGGCTGCAGCACAAACGAACACAGGACACACTTGCAGCAGGAAGCGAGCCATAGGCAGCCTTCTGAACCCAAAAACGGGCCCCCTTATCCCGACTACAGGCCCAAAGGTGGCCCCGAGCCCTCTGAGCCCATCGGTTACCAGCATGCGGGCAGCAAGTACATCCCGGGGAACCAGGAGACCCTGAGACTGAACCACAAGGAGGTGAGGTTGGCAGAGGACAGGCCAGACTTGGAGAGGTCTCGAGGCAGACCCACCACGTCCATGGAGAAACACTCCAGAGACTGCTATAAGGAAGAGGAACACGCTGCCTCCCCTATGGCACCGCCGCCCAAGCCCGAACGGAGCCACAGCCTCAGAATGCAGCACCCCGACCCCATGGAGAGGGACTCAGCCCTGCTCTACCCGTACCAAACCCTTGGGAAACGCCAAAGCACTATGACTGTGGTGTCCCAGTATGATAATTTGGAGGATTACCATACCATGCCTCAGCACCAAAGAGGGGGCTATGTTGGAGGAGGGGGGTTTGTGCCCCCCAGTTTTACCCATGTGCACAGTAGAACTTACGCCACGGCGCTCGGCCAGGGAGCCTTCCTCCCAACGGAGCTGTGTTTGCAGAGGCCTGAAACAGAGGTCCATGTCGAGTGAGTTGGTGGGGGGGAAGGTGGGATAGAGTCTAAGCAGCCTCTGCTGGACAGTGGACTGTTTTATTTTTTCAGTGATGGAAAAAAAACCCCACAAACACAAACCAATCCTGCCCCGATGAGCAAAGCAAACCCCCCTGCAGCACCCCAGCCCCGCCACTCACTGTTTTTATGTAGTAGAGATAGAGCTTTTCCATGTAGTTTTGAGACAACTGGAATGATAGGGCAGGCTCTTGGCACACAGACGTTGCCAGAGAGGCCGGGCAGAGCTGAAAGAGATGCTGTTGGGGCAGGGAGGGGAGGAAATGCTTGTCCTTCCCCACCTTTGCCATTGGCAGTTAGCGCCACGTCCTCCCCATGCATGAGGAACTGTGCATGCAGCTCTTTTCCCTTCCTACTGCCAGCTTCTCAGCAAGGGGCTCCATACAGGCCTTGGAAAACCAATGTTCTGCCCCCCCACAAGGTTGCACAGCAAGAACTGGATGGGGGGGGAAGAATTCCCAAGTATTTTCCTGATAAATGCTGAGGTCTCCCTTGAAAATTAGTGCTTAGGCCTCGTGGATCCATTTCAATTGCTTTGAAGTGGGTGGGAGCCAGTTTTCACTTGAAGCCTGTGGAATAGGCTCTGAAGCAAGCTCAGAATACAGCACACAGTCTAAATTGCTCACTTCCAAGCTGTTTCTGACTACAAGAAATCAATTACTTGCAATTTCTATGGGAGCCAAGTAGGGCAGTTTGCATTTCGCATACCAAAAGGAACAACACAAAACCACACCAAACCATGCACACCCCTTGGGAACAGCACGCCCATTTCATGCCAATTCCTCTTTACTGCTAGGCTGTCTCCGGTCCAGGCAATGTGATGCTGTGTTGTGGCTGGCCAGACAGCATCATCTCTACAAAACAATACTATAAAGTCTCTTAAGCGTTCTGTCCAGCTTGTAAATTGGAGCCAGACATACCAGCTGGGAATGACTGTGTAAGTGTGGAGTTACCTGCATGACCAGCTATTAGCCCCGGGCCAGATTCTGCAGCTCTTAGATCAGGGAATGCTCCTGTTGACCTCAAGGAAGGTCTCCAGGACATGGCTTTCTGTAACCTTTAAGTTCTGTGTTGGCAGGGGGATCCCTGTGAAGCTGTGGCACATACAGAGTTAGTTACGTGATGTCTGTGTGCTGTGAAATAGCGTTGCCTCCCGTATTGCAATAGAAGCTCATACCAGTGTTCAGTTAGCAGTAGGGACAGAAGGTCAGTGCGCTCTTTAATACCCTAACCACGTTGTCCTAGGTATTTAAAAGCTTTCCATATTGTCAAAGAGAAGAAAAATGGGCATCCCAGGATGCCCTACAACCTCACCTTATAAAGCACATCCATTTCATTAAGCAGGGCTTTGCAAGCAATACTTGAGACTGAATTAGTTTTTACATGTTCACCAAGAAATTCCAAGGCCATTCCTGTTCTGTGTGGTTGAAGGAAGAGCTTTTCTACCCGTGTTGAATCTCTTAAACGTTTTATTAAAACCCTGGAGGTTCTGCAGTCAGCACACAGCTGTTAAAGCTCACAATGATAGAACAAAACTTCCATGGCTGTTTTAAATCGCAAAGAAAGCCTGTTTCTAGTTGCTACCTAGCCTTTAACTTCTTTTTCATCATGTAGCCCCATCTGGGGCTGTTGCAGTGGCACCACCTCCTGGTCCTGTTTCATTGTGCAGTGCTGTTGGTTTAAACATCATGTTGAGAAGAGTGGTTCTGCGGTGTTACACAACTGAATCTGGCAGCAGTGGGGGGGAATGGGATAAAGGAAAAAGCAGCAGTGTGAGCCAGGTTACCACCATCTCCTTGGGAGTCATCACCAGGTTAGAGGGGTCAGGGTTTTGTAATGTTTTCTTTGGAGGAAAAGTAACAAGAATAGATAGAAAGGGGCCACGAGGTGAGCCATGTTGGGCATTGCTAGCTGACTCCATAGGGAAGGGCTGACCTGTCCGGGTTCCTCAGTGCAAGCGCACCAAGTGAGTCCACTGTTGAGTACCTGCTCTCTCAATAGAGGTGTGTGTTGTATTAGGACTAGTAGCAGTCTTCAGGCATTGTAGTACAGTCTCCCCACAACTGCCAAGTTACCTGCTGAGATCTCCAGTCAAAGCAGGGACAACGTGTTTGGTTCAGGCTATTTGGGATTCAGGTAATGAGAGCTGGAGGTCAACCTTCTCTCTCTGTGGAAGCCTTAACTCCCCACTCCTGCCCCACAGCAACTCTCCTAACCTCCAGTTTGGCCTTAGGTTAACCAGGACTATCCTGCTATGAGGGAGCTGAGTCCAGCTCCCAGGAATTGTCAATGCCTCCCTGGATTTTCCTGCTCAAAGCCACTGTCTCCCTCTAGTGCCATCCTTGGACAATTTCTGTTCCTTACGGGCTTGTCACTACTCCTGCCTGAGCCTGGGCCCTGCAGCTCGGTGCATTGTGTGAGGTGCCAAGTACCCTGTCACCCATGGGAAGGAAAAGCTGTAAAGGGCTTCTGGAAGTGAGGTGGCTGCTACACGCAGCCTTCCTCTTGAGAATAAGGTCTCCATCTAAAAAAGGCATCAGAGAACTTACTGTCCCTCTGCACACAGCCACATGAGCGCGTACTTCAAGGGCTGCAAGCTCTCCGAGAGCCCAAAGTAACTGCTGTACGTTAGTGTTGAGCCACAAGGGCAAAAAGGCAAACAGAAAGCAAGGTTAAGGCACCAGCTTTTCCCAGAGAATAGTACACCAGCACCTTTCTTTTAGTGTAGCTACTGCCCATGGCTTAAACATTGAGTACAATTCAGGAGGCGTCCCGCATCCACCCCGCACAAAGCCATACAGTGAACTATGCAGTCCTTTTGTACTGTGGTTATCCTCATCAACTGAGTCAGCATCAAGTCAAAACATCCCCAAATCATAGCTGAGCTTACAGAGGGCATCACGCATCAGGGTGAGGAGGGGGGGGTTACACCAGATGTGTGAGTAGGACCTGTGAGTTGGTCGTTCAGTTCTTAGTGTCCTAGCAGAGAAATGGGAGGGCAACACAAAAAACACTTATTGCAAGTCCCATTCTGCCCAGAGTAGTAATTCCTTGCCTAGCCCTATCTCCAGTGGTACGACAAGCGGCTGTGTTCTGAAGTAACACCCTTCTAAGTTGCCACAAGCTGTCTGCATCTGAAATTGCCACTTCCCAGGTTTCCAGCCAAGGTTCTCCCTAACGCACGCAGGTGACACTGGATTGTCACCTCTGCTTCAGAGCAGAGACTTTAGAGCCAGGGGGAGTGCAGATGTTGGGTAATGAGGACCTAGTCCCTGTGAAGTCTTAAGTAAAGCATTAATGTCTCCCTTTTAAAGAGTCTTTATCAGGTGAAATCTATATGCCCAGACAAAACACCCACAACTTTGTGCCTATTGTCTTTCCAGAGGTCCTGGCTTTATGCTCATCGTTTGAAGGGCGGGGGGGGGGGGTCAGTAAGGATTGCACAGTGGTAGTAAGTTGCTGCACCAAACCAAAACCAACTTGAAAACCTGCTGTTCCTCTCTACCTCCAGAGAGGGACAGACCCTCATGCGTACTCTGGTCATCAGTACAGTGACTGAAGCATTAGGAAACATGGATGAAAACCTGGTTTGCTTCCCTTAGAGGCAGCTTAGGAGAGCAGCAGTTTCCCCAGAGCCTCGTGCTGCAGATCCCTGATGGTGAAAGGCATGGTCTGGTCCCAACAGACATAAAACCTGTGTGTGTGGAGCCTTGCCTCATCCGGTTGTGGGGAGGGAGGAGGAAAGGGTTGTTTTGCAGTTCCTTTTCCTGCTGTAAAAGACTTGATTTTTCTTTCCCTGAGCCGCATGAGAGAAAAACCTCGCAGAAAGTCTTGGGTTCCCTTTGGAGTTCCCTTCACTTTAATTTATAGAGTGTCTTTTTTTGTGAACTGGTGTAAAATGTATATGCTGACAAGCTCCTGTATTTTTATGTAAATATTTTTTGTGGTTTTCTCCCCTTGCCCTTCTCTGTAAATATTTAGGATTCTCATCTTCTCACCTTGTATGATGCAGATGTGGTTTTGTTTCTGGTTTTTATTTGTACTGTAATGCAACAATCCAGACTGAGGTGTCTTGTGGTATTAAACAAAAGCAACAGTCCCACTGAGCTCACACTCAGATGTGCAACTTGACAGCATTAATCAAGCCAGGTTATAAACTATTCCATTGTGTTTGTGTCTCTTTTTGCCTCTGCCTCATCTGTTAATTGTATATCCTTAAAGCATAGGAAAAACTGCTTCAGAGCCATGTTTAGGAGGCATCTCCAAAGGTAACTTTGTGTTCATCCTCCAAAGCCATCACAAAACACCTTAAGCCCTGCTCATCTCTGCAGTTGCTCCTATGGCCGTGGCATACTCTATACCCACAAATAAACCATCCTGGGGTTTTGAGCCTCCCTTTATTCCTGCCCAGCGGGACAGTGAGAGGAGAAACAGCTTGGTGCTTGCACGCAAGGCACGTGGCAGATGAAGTGAGGACTAACAGATGGCACAGGCCACCTTAGAGTTGGCCAGGAGGGATTCTAGGCACCAGTGTAATATTGTTCCTAGTTAATTACAGCGAAAGAATGATTAAAGGAAGCTAATTTCATACTTTCTTAACACTGTGAGGGCTTCTGTCAGTCCTCAACAGAGGACTTGGCGTGTACAGGGAGCAGTGAGAGCGTTTCTTAATCACACACCCTTTTGTGTCACCTCGGTGACACAGCAGAAGCAGTTATCTGCATCCTCTCCCTGCCTGGCAGGGCTGTGACGATGCCGGGGGCAGGGGGAAGCCCTGGAGGGAAAGTTTTGCCTCTGTGGAGCGTGGGAGAGTGAAAATGAGCAGAGTTTTGCATGTGGCAAAGACCGCAAACCTCTGCCTGAGGTTTTACCTCTGCTGAAAGCAGCCCCTTCTCGAGCACTAATGGAAATGGCAAGGGAATGCCTCTTGGAGGCAGGGGAATCTCTGCCTGTGTTGAATACAGGCATCTGTATGAGTCAGCCTTTGTGTGCTGACAACATAGGAGGCAGAAGGGCTAGCCAACAGCAGGGTGGTTTGGGACTGAGGGGTCAAGGCCAAAAGGAAAGGTGGGGTAAACTTGTCTGGCTTTGTGGCACTGCCCCCTCCCTCCCACTTCTGCCCTCAGCTTCATGAGTGTCTCGCTCGGGTACCTCCTCCAGGTCCCAAAGCCTCTGCCTGAGCCCTTCATTGTCAGCTTTTGCCTGCCAGCTCATGTACCTCCAAGGAACAGCAAGCCTGAGATGCACAGGGATGCCCTAGGGACAATGTGCTTCCTGCCAGGTGACCCACACCACAACCTTGGCCTGAGCACAGGCAGGCAAAGGGCACCATCCAAACCATACTGGGTGGCTATTCCCTGCCCAGTACCTTCTTGGAGCATCAGACCAGCAGTGATTTGTTCCTAGCCTCTCTGCTCCCAAAGCCAAGGGGGATGTGGACACCACCTCAGCCTACACATGGCTCCAAGGCTTGCCTGAACAAGAGTTAATCCCATAGCAAGAAACCTCCTCTTTGTCTCAGCCCAGCACTGTGCTAAGGAAGCACTTCCAGGGGGGTTCCCCACCACAGCATCCCTTGCTTGGCGTGGCCCCTGGCTCCTTCCAACCTTACCCAGGGGCTCTTTCAGGACGTTAACCTCCAGTGCCATTTTCCAGTGCTTCTCTTTCTGCAGCCAGAGGGAAGAAGGAAGGGGCAGAGCCAAGAGCAGCTCTTGGCCCAGGGGAAGCCTGCCTTGGGACCTAAAGGCTGCTCTTGCCCGCAGCCATACATGCATGAGATGCACACGGAGAGCCAGAGGCACCGAGACACACTCGACCAGCAGGACGTGGCTTTCCAGTGCAGCTGTGCCCATCCCCATCATGGGCCTGAGGGATAGAAGCAAAGAGGTGCTTGGCTCTTCCTTCCTGCAGGGAGGGCATCGTCCCGGGCAGAAGCCCCCTTTGCTTGAAGCCTCGTATAGAAACACAGCTGTAAGGTGGAGTGAATCCTGCCCAGGGAAGCAGACAGTTGGGAATGCAATCGCTCAAGCACGTTCCCTGATCTCTTTGGACCGGGGCCATGGCGATTTTTGCTCCACAAAGCTGGTGTTCCCCTCCTCAGCCCTCTCGCCAGGTACCTGTGGTATTCGGGCACCCTCCGGTGGTCAAGCCGGCTTGACTATTCGCCAGGATCCATTAGCACCTAATGGGAAAAGCCTCAGGAACACGGCCTCAATAAGCGCTGACATATTTGAGGTCGATATAATCCTGAGGAAAATTTGCCCAGGTAATTAAAGCCAGACGAGGCTTTAAAGCCGTATTTACCAAAGGCAGTAAAATCGAGGCAGTTTAACAAGCGATGTGTGCAGGGCTCCTTCCCTACACCTGGTGCTGCTCTGTCCTGCTCATCCCATGCCTCAGCACGCCATGCGCTGGGCGAGAACTCACCAGGAGCCAACAGGCAGGAGGAAGGAGGCTGAAAACAGGATCTGAAGGCAGCGAAGACCCGGAACTGAGCACACGCCATGATCGCCGCAGGTTCGGTGCTGTCAGCTCGGAAAGGTTCCGTTTCTCTGCCCGCTCTCCCCCTGTGTGCACACGGCCGTGCCCTTCCCCTTTCGGCCCTTCGAACAAACGGGAACCTGCTCCTGGAAACGGGAACCGATCCCGTTCCGCACCCTTCGGAACGGTACCGCCACCGGGCCCCTCAGCCGGGCCCGCCCCAGGCGCGGCCCTCGCCGTTCCCATGGCGACCGCGCCCCGCCCCGCCCGCCCTCATCAAACATGGCGGCCGCGCCGCCCTCGCCGCCGCCCTTCGCCTGTGCTACGGCAGCCGGGCGGGGCCTGGCGGACGGGCCGCGGCTCTCCCCGCTCCCCCTCCCTCGGCCGCTGGTACCGGCCAATCAGCGCCGGCTCCTCCCAGGCCGAGGGGGCGGTCCCGCCAATCAGCGCGCAGCGTGTCCGGAGCGGAGGGCGGGGCCACGCTGGAGCCGGGCGCCCCCGCCACTGCCGCCGCCACCGCCGCCACCGCCCGCGGCTCCCGCTGCCGCCGCCTTGCCCTGCCCTGCCCGGCCCGGCCCTGCCCGGCCCCCGGGAGCGGCCGCACGTCCGGTTGTCCTGCAGGGCCGAGGCCCGGTGCAGGACGGGGGGGACGGGCCGGGCGCGGGTGTGGGCCCGCTCGCGGCTGCCCCCCGCCCCCGCGCCGTCCTCATGTCGGCGCCGCTGAAGAAGGGCCCCGGGGGGCTGATCGGGCTCATGAAGGACGCGTTCCAGCCGCACCACCACCACCTCGGCCCGCACCAGCCCGGCGCCGTGGACAAGAAGATGGTGGAGAAGTGCTGGAAGCTCATGGACAAGGTGGGCCCGGAGCGGGGGGTCGGGCCGTGGGGCGGCTCCGGGGGGTCGGGCTGGGGCGGAAGCGGGACTTGTCGGTTGAGGTAGGGTCGAGGAGAAGGGCTTTGGGCTGGGGATCGGGGTCGGGCTGGATGTGGGGGCTGAGGTAAGCCTGGAGCTGCAGGGGTTTGCAGGGTTGAATTGTGGGGTAGAGAGCTGTGGGGCCGGGGTGAAGCGTGTGTGGGGGGCGAGGGCTGTACGGGGGCAGGAATGGGAGCAGTGCTTTGGGGAGGGGAGGGTGTGGGAGCTGGTGGACAGGTATGCGGTGGAAGAGAGGCCGGAAGCGGGATGGGAGTGGGATGTGGAGATCGGAAGGTGTGGACAGGGAAGAGCAGCTCCGTAAGGGATGAGCTGCACGCAGGGCTGTGGAAGGGAACAGGCTGGAAATAGAGGGGAAGGTTTGGGATGGAGGATGCGGACCTGCCTCAAGAGGATCAGGGGGTTGTACCGCTGTATTCTTGTATGGGCGAGGTGCGGTAGGGAGCTGCAGGTGCATCCTGGTGGCGGCAGCAGTAGGAAATCCTACCTGGGTATAACTGCACGAGGGAGGAATCTAGGAGTTGTTTGTCTGAAGGCGAGCTTTGGCCTGTGGCAGAGCCTGCTGTGTGGGTACTGCATGGTAAAGCTGAGCATCTGCTTTGTGGCAGTTCAGGTTATGCTGAATCAATGGGGCCACATTACCGAGCTCAGCACAAAACCTTTTCCTGCGACCCTGATAAAAAAAAATCATAAAAGTCTGACTAAAACCCTATGTGCAGTGAATGCGTGCAGTTATGCAAAGATAAATCGGTATGAAATCTGACATTAAATAATGAGAACCTGTGGTGCAGGGATTGGAAAGGCCATCTTACAGCCCTATGCCTTTATGCAGGGCACTACACTCTAGGGTCATTAGGACTCTCCCCTTCTCCACCTCTTATAATGCCAGGGAATGGCTACTGACAGGGGCAGGACAGCAGACGTTTTGGCCCCATGGTGTGATGGAGTGAGGCAAGTGATGTACTAGCCTGGCTGGGTGTGTTGGTAAATCCATTGTTTCAAGGATGATGAGATGTTAGTGAATGCTCCATTACTTACAGGAGGCCCAGGAAGTGAGCACAGGCTTCCAGAAGTGGGCATAAAATAAACATCCTCCGATGTTTTCCCTGGGATTTTGATTGATCCTTTCATGTTACTACTGTTCAGCCCTGAGAATTGAGGCTAAAACATGCAGTGCATTCTGTAATGCTGGGTTCAGGGCCCTAAAAGTACCGCAGGGTAAAAGCATTGGCAAAGATGCCTCCAGTCCTTGGGGAGTGTCACCTTGCTGCCTTCTTCCCCTCTGCGACCAGAGCAAGCAGGGCTGATGGGCACCCTTCATCCCGGAGCCTGGCAGGCTTATGCATTTCAACTTTTCTTTCTCTTTTCCCTGCGTTGCTTATCCATGCAGGGTCTGAATCTCCTGCAGTAAATCCCAAAGCACGCAGAGCAGGTGATGTTTCTAAGGACATACTAAATCATGTTCATGCCAAGAAATCACTTTGTGTTGGCTGGCTCAACCAAAGGCATGGTGTCTAGCTGTGCCTTGCTGTGCTTGTGATGAGCTTTGATCACCTTCTACAGAGGGAGACTGGGATGAAGAAGAAAGTCTTTTGAGAGGTGCCAGTGGCTCTCTTACAAACATTGAAGGCAAGCATAACTGCTACTGTGGGAAAGGTAGTTTGAGCCTGGAAACGTGATCCTCAGGTTTAACTTGCAGGTACAACTTGTGAGAATGCGCATCTTCCTTCTTGTGCATGCGATTTGGATGTGAATGTCAACCTGGGTTTGACCTCATAACCTGGTCTGGTCAAAGGAAAATGTCCTTACCTTGGCATTTGGAATTGCAGTGGGATGGTTTAGTGTGGGGTGGGTACTTTCACAGCTTTAGATCTGCACACCTAGTCTTTGGCTGTATACCCTCTCCACCATATCACTGATAGAAAAGCCAAGGCTACTGTTGTATCTGTTAAAGAAAACTCTTAAATGTGCCCTGGCAGGGCAGCATCTGAAAACATTGATGTGTAGGTTTAATTTTTAAAGGCATAAGGAGTTAGTTGTTCAGTCTGATTTGTACAAGAGGAAAGATTTGGCTGCGAAAAGCCTTCCACATTTCAATTAGACTTCGGTTATACTCATGCACGCATCTGAATTAAACATCTTTTTAGTAGTGTAGCAACTTGCCAGGCAGACATAGTCCTTGTGAAACCAGTGGTGAGAAAGGCTGAATGCATGGGAAGTGTTGAAAATGGGTTAGTTTTCTGGGCCAAGAAATGACATTACAGGTGCAAATCAAAGAAATGCTTGTGAGCATGTTTAATAGATGATGTGTTTGCCTTTCAGAGCTGTGTCTGTGTGCGTACGCTACATTCATGACCTGATTCGTTAAGTCTGCATAATCAGCTGGTGCTGTCAAAGCATTCGTGCTTCTCTGTTTTCAGATGTGACTGATGAATTTCCTATGCAAGTTGATTCTTGTCCAAATATTTTCCCCATAATGTTCTCCATAAGCTGCCTGACATGGATTCCTTTTGCTTCAAGTTTCTAATCTCTGTCAGTCCTGACTCTTCCTCCCACAGTTGCATGTGAACACATGGAGAGCATGGACATCAAGTAGCCCTTTTCATCCCTGTGCAGCAGGTTGTTCACCTTCAGTGATGGTTTTGTGCTTATAGGGGTTAAGTGTGTCTTTGGAAGCTGAATGCATTGTCCAGTATCTTGTTAGCCTGCAATGATGAATAGCAGGATAGCAATTTCCTTGCAGTGTCCTGAACCTAGTCAAGAGTATAGATTAGTGCCAGTGGGAGGAACTGCTGTTAGTTTGGTTTTATTCTGCTTATAATAAACTCATCTGCTCCTTGTGTTTAGCAAATAAAACAGTGTTTAGTGTAAGAAACATACAATGTATTGGCTGGTGGAAACAATTCCTATTTTTTACCCAAAAGGATGAAATTACAAGTCAGTTCTTATGAATGTGATCTGGGCAGCAGGTAATGCAGACCTCTTGAGTTCATTGCTGTGGTTTCTATTGGAAGAATTGGTGGTGTGTAGTTGTGAGCCACTCAGGATGAGGTATAAAGGATGTAGCAGAAAAGTGGTAAGAGTACATGCAGCAAGAGATGGAGGAGGAAGACAAGCTTTGAGATAAAGCTTCTCCAGACAGCGTACTGATACCATTCAGTTTCTAAAACTGATATAGAGAAATGCCACTCTAGGTCACCTTCATTGTAAGTAGAGGAGAGGCCAAATGCAAATTCAGCAGGAGATAAGGGACCTTTGAGTAGGTTTTCTTTTTGCTGCTGGCTTAGGATGAAATGGGACGTGATTTTAGTCAAGAAGGTGCTTATTTAGTTCTTAAAGGAAGGAAAAGACTATGGCCTTTCAGAACTGTGCTGAAGAAGAGGTCTGAGCTGGAAGGGGAAAATGGTCATCTGGCACAGAAGCATATTGGGGGCCTGTTAGTTAAACACTGTCCCCTGCCTGAGGCTAGCAGGTAGGTGGTGTCTGTGCTGGGGACTTTCTGCCTGAGCAAGAAGCAGGGTGCTGTACCAATGGCTGCAGCAAGCAGGCTGGCACCAGCTTTTTCATGTGTGAGGCTGGGGATGAGCAAAATGGGAAGAGAGGATTGGGATGGGCAGACAGGAAGCTGAGAGAGGGGGATTTGGGGTGTGTTGGAGGACAGCTGGCGAGTGGCAGTTTGGATAGGTTTGTTAAGCTGCATTCTCTGCCCTTCCTAACAAATACTGGGTATTGTTAAATGAGTACATTTGCTTAGGTATCTTGTTTTTTCTCAGGTGCTTCTTTCTTGCTTCTACTAACATGCACCTAATCCAGCTGCATAACTGGACTGCAGTGTTCAGATAAGCTGGTTCTTGCTGTGTTTTCTCAGGTTATGTATATGTTGTGCCTGTGACAGCGCTTTCTTATCTAGTGTCACTGTTCCCTACACTGGTTACCCAGTGGCTTTATTTCTGCAAGCCTAGCGAAGCGGTACTGAAGGGGGATGTTTTACATCCAGAGACAAGGCAAGACAAGCTGAAGAGTCTTGAGGGAAAAGACTCAGTTCCAGGCCTAGAAAATCTGCTTGAGACTTGTTTCCTCGAGTGAGGAGATAACAGATTCTTGCCTCAAAACTGAGGGAGGGTTTGTTTCTATTATTTTCTTCTCTTGAGGCTGGAAAATGAAAATCAGGCAATTTTGGGCTTCTTCACAGTCTCTTAGACTCTTTGTGCCGAGTTTGAGATGCTTTATTGGTGTTTCTAAAAAGCAGAAAATGTCTCCCTAAAAGCCTTGTTCCTGAACAAATAAAGCATAAGCCAGGATGAGTTGGGATGGTACCTTAAAAACACGGATTGCTTGCGCGTGTTGCCAGCCCACCTAACTGAAAACGCTTGCTGCTCTTTGCTCAGTTCCCTTCCACGTTGCTGGTCCCTGTGTGAGGCAGGGGAGCTCGCTAAGGGGCAGCTGTTCCCAGGGCTGGGAACATTCCTTTTGCCGTTGTCACCATGCTGCAAGTGCACACTTTGAGAAACAAGCAGAACGCAACTGGTTTTGTTGCTCCTGTTAGGAAGTTACCAAGTCTGCTCAAGAGGCAGCAGTTTCTACTTCCATAGCTTTATTTAAACGCTTCTCTGAGCAGTTTTTGGCTTAGATGGTAAATAAAGCAGCTCGTTTGATAGTAAAATCCCAGCGGTTTTGGCCTTTCTGTTAACTATTTGAGGTATCTTTGCAAATCACTTCTTGGGAAACATTCCTATAGAGGCTATGGGGATGGGGAACTTGCTCCTGCTGTGGAGAAGTTTTTCCTCATTGCTACTGGTTTGTTACATGACAGCAGCACAGTGGGTCTGCTGCTTCTGTAGCTGGGTATTTTCAAGGGGTAACAGCCAAACTGTTTCCTATTACAGACAACAGGGAGAAGTACATACTGTGATGCTTAATGTGGCTGCTTCATCAGAGCTGACTGTGTTTTTGTTAAGGGTTTAAAATGTGTAATAACCAGTTTCTCTTGGGGAAAAGAAAGAGAAATAAATCCGTCTGAAAACAAGGTTTTGCTGCCCACAGCACAACTCTGCTGTGTCTGAGAAGCAGATTTAGAACTTACTCATGCTGCACGGTGAAGCAGGTTCTATTCAGGGGACAAGTGTGTTGCCTCAATCAGTTGATGTTCTTCGTCGTGCAGTGTTCACAGGAGTTCAGGCATCAGAATGACCTGCGTAAGTCAGTTGTCTGACCATCCATCTCCTTATCTGGACCGTGGCAGCCTCTTCAAAATGGGAGGAAAGTTGTGGCAGGAGTTTTCCATGTGTTCTTGCAGAGGCTTTTTTAGGCACGTCATTCTTTTAATGGCAGTCAGATTTTTCTCTTTGACTTTTGATCCACTTTCTCTGCACTGAGACTGAATCTTTCTCAGTGAGCTCTTCTTAGAAGCACTACTGTAAGTCAGATATAATTGGAGATGTCACTTGACAAGGTTGCTTTCTGCATATACCCTGAATGGCAAAGTGAAATGCTAAAGCACTGTTTCAGAATAAATTACTTTGTTTGCTGTCAGCATGTAAGTGTTTGAGGGAAGTAGGTATTTAATATGCGTTGTAGGGAACTAGTCGATTCCTCTTGAAGGTTTCACAACGTGTTGTGGAAATGATGTACTGTGAAAGGACATTAGATGGTTCTTTCACTTTTTGTTATCCACTTCCCTTAAGCTTTGCATTCTGCAGCCCCACACTGTCTGATACCTTCATTGCCCTTGTACCTTGCAGTGTCATTAGTTTAGACCTCATTCGTGTGCAGTAAGACTATACCAGCTGCTGGTTCTCTGCTTGTAAACTCCATCTGAAACTGGCCTTGCAGCTCCAGAGTTTCAGCCCTTGTTATAACTGAAAGTGCACCACTAACTTTGCTGTTATCTCTATCATTCTCTGAGTCTAGATAATGGAAAATTTTGGCTATGGTAGATGGTAAAGTGACTTCCTTTGTCCTCCCCTATGACATAAACTTGCTATCATGAGCTTCTGGCATGTAACCTCTCTGTTCCTGTGTGATAAAGGCTTGTATTCAGTTCAGCTTGCATCCTGATTTGGGTGTGTACAGGTAGAACTATTGCATTGCTTGTGAGTCCTGAACAGGAATATTCTACTTGTTACTTGGGCCTTAAGTAAGTAATGCAAAAGTAAGTGCCTGGAATTATTTTGTCAATGATCCCATAAATTCACTGTAGAATGCACAAAATGTGGGTTAATAGATTCAAGTTCTTAGCCTTGAGAATATGTGATCTTGCTGCTACAATAGAAATAGATCACATGTGGCTTGGAAGGAGGGAAAATAAGATGTTTAGTTGTATGCCAAGTGGAAGACAGGTTGAGGTCATTTAATAACCCTTTAATTCCTAGTATCACTGTGGATATGTTATTAGAAAAATAAAACCAAGCAAACCCACAGAAATCACTGTGAAGAACCTGGATTTGCCCCAAAATTCATCTGACAGAAGCGTAACAGATGTTCTAACAGTTGTTCTGATGTTCTAAATAACTGATGCTCTAAGTATGCTTCTAACAGCATAACATACATTGATGCATAACTGTGGACATGAGTTCTTGCAAGCTAAACTTTTACCCAGACTTTTCTTGCCGCATCTGCTATGCTGCACCTTATTTCTCAGTCTAGCACAGACAAAATTCCTTTGAGTTAGTTCTGTCTTTCTTGATGGTTGTTATTATCCACAACAAATAGAGTTTGTTGCGAGTGAACATTTCAGTGCATTGTGTTTGTAACACCGAATTGTGTTTCAGCATCTGATCACTGCTTCCTATTCTTAAGTTTTCAAAGTGGGTTTTTCTCCATCAACCACAGGTGGTGCGTTTGTGTCAGAACCCAAAACTGGCGCTGAAGAACAGCCCACCCTATATCCTAGACCTGCTGCCTGACACCTACCAGCATCTCCGAACCATCCTGTCGCGCTATGAGGGGAAGATGGAGACCCTGGGAGAAAACGAGTATTTCCGTGTGTTCATGGAGAACTTGATGAAGAAAACCAAGCAGACCATCAGCCTTTTCAAGGAAGGGAAAGAGCGGATGTATGAGGAGAACTCTCAGCCTAGGTAATGGCGAGAAATGATTTCCAATAGTTATGATTTTTGCAGAGCAGCCGCTTGCTCTTAAATTATTTTGTCTTGAAAATGGTGTTGTGTGTTGCTCCCATAGAAGTGGTGTTACTTTCCAGAACACTTACTGTTACCTCCCAAAGTAGGCTAAAATGGTATATAAAACCCTTTGCAATGTATCTGTGATATTTGTTCTGATTAACTGTGTGTGTGTTGTGAACATCTGATGAGTAAGTAAGCGATAGCTGTGTCAATCTTAAGTCCAGCATCTTGCCTCCAATCCCTTGTTCTTTTCAGAGAGAAGCAAAGAGAAAGGGTTCCAAAGAGTTAATCGTCCTAGCCAGTTTGTAGCCAAACTAATTGATAAAAGGGGGTGGGTGAAATCCAAATCAATAGATATGAACTTCAGAAACAGAATTCCAATAGAGGCTTGCTTTCTCACAGCAGTGATGGGAGTCTTTGGGGAATTGCTAATTGCACCGTTTATGAGTAAACAGCTTAACAGGGAAGCAACTGTGGTGAGACTTGTAAACAGAAGAGTAAAAGCAGAATCACATTCTGGCTAGTTTCAGTAGATCTTCATTTGCTTTCTGCTCAGCCCAGGAAGCAGCAGTTACTGGTTTGTCACGAAGAGGAAATACCAGGCAGCCTTTTCTGGGTGCTGATAGCGAGCATCTTAACTTTCTTAATTCCCTCATTTTTGTCATATACACAAATAGAAAAGGAAGTGGTTGGAGCAGTCACTGCATATGATTCCAATACCAGTTCAAGAGATACCTGCACAAAGAATGGCCCTTTTGCTTCAGCTGGGGATTCTGTTCAATGCCACACTTCCAGGATCAGACTCTGTGGTTGTATAAGCTTTTGGAGCCTGATCACTTTAAGGCACCTTTAGATTTAAAGTATGTGTAATAATTTAAGGTGAATAAATTTAGAAAAACCTCTCACCTTGTCAGGAACTGAAGAAAAACCGGGCTTTTTTCCTTTTGTAAGAATCAATGACTTCACATATTCCAAGGGTGTGAGACACTTCAGATACAGAAACAATCTTTCTCAAAGGTTGTGGGCACCCTATAAAGCAAATGTAACCCAAACCTGGTATTCACTGAACATGTGCTCATGGGAGTGTATGTATATATAAAACAATCTGGTTTACCCTTGATGTCCTGCAAGGGGTGGCCAGTGTTAGTCTGCAGTGTTACGAAGCCATGCCTTTAAAAATCTAACCTGGTGTACTGAAGTGTCGCTTTGTCTTGACTTTTCCTGACTTTTTTTCCTGTTGTCCCTGAAGCTTCTGTCTTCCTTTCCTTCATATTTAGTATTCACTTTGTTTCCTGTTGTCTGTGCTCTTATTTTCCTCCCCCAGATGTCTGCTGGTGTAGAGCAAATGCACTACTTTGCGAGTAGCAAACACCTGCGCAGCTTTCACACTAGCTATGCAAATGACAAACAGACCAGTGATTAGAAATGACTGAAGTCTCTTTTAGACTGTAGGATCAGAATTGTCTTGCTCACTTGACAAATTCTGTATTTATTATTTCTATATTTATTATATTTAGATTTATTGTATTTCTTATTCTATATTCAATATTTCTATATTATTTCTATATCTATTATATTTTTTCTATATTTATTATTTCTATATTGTTCTTTGTGTATTTCCTCTCAAACTTTTTAGAGGTTCTCCAAGGTGTCCATCCAAGGTGGACTGATGCACAGCTGCTGGGAGCACCATGTCTTGTAGCTGCTTGTCCTGCTTTGAGAGTTCTGATAGCCACAAGACGTGTGTCATCTAGCACTGAGTGGTTTGGCACATTGTTGGCTGTGTGTACAGAATGTGTAGCAGTATAATCTGGATGCTGTTTGGTGTTTGCTGTAAGGCAGGCAGTTTATTCTCTGACTTTCAAAATACAGTAGAGGAGTAAAGGTGCTGTGAACAGGGTGAGAAACAGCTTGTGTGAGCATTCACTGTGCTTACGGATGTGGGTGAATGTTTGTTCCTTCAGTTTTTAACTAGCTGGTAAAAGTGAATGTAGGTCTCCTGCGTCATACCTGAACCATCAGGGTGCTGAAAGCATCCTTCTGTTGTGGCTAACTCACAGTTAGGTGATACCCCATGCTATGAACACTCAAACACTCAATGGCTTCCTTTTCTTAGGGCTGTAACGGCTGTTCTGTCTCTGTAGCACTGATGTATATAGACTTTCAGCTGCAATTGTTACTCTTGCATGAGCTCATACTGCAATTTTTGTGAAGAGAACTTGCTTATTTTCTTAGGAGAGCTTTAAAGATACTGTTTGAATTCTGCTCTAAGTCACTTCCATATCTGTTTAAAAATTAATGCTGTTGAGTGTGCTTTTAAAGCTGTGTATGCACTTCCTGACTCATAAGTACACACAATAACTTCTAGTTACTGTTTACAGGCTGAGTTTTGGCAAGTACATCAGCTTCAACTTGGTGACTTCTGAGTAGGATGTGGGGTTTTTAGTGGAGATATATATTGGTTTTTCTGAGTTTTAGGAGCTTATTTGGGTTATCCTTGCCTATCCTATAGGATATATAGGATAGGATATATCCTATCCTATAGGTAGGTCTATAAAAACAAATTATATATTTGAGGATCTGGAAAAACACAGTGATAACATCTTCAGGCCTCGATACTGGAATCAAATAGTATTTGAAGAGTTAATAATTCTGGATATTGTCATATGCTTGCAGTAAGGTACAGCTAAGTTAGTCAATAATTAGTTGGCTTTGCTGCAGTAATAAGCAGGTATTGAGGCTATCCACTTATCCAAAGCTGTTGTTTCCTGTTCTTTAGCAGATCCACAGTGCTTTCTAATGCAAAAGGTATTTTAAGACTCATCACCTTAAGTTCTAAAAACAAAATAAAGACCCACCCAGAGGTCAAGTTTGTAGCCTTTTATAGCTGAGACACTGCAATAAAAGAAATCCTCTCCAGGATCCTTAGCAGGTCTCTATGCAGAGCAGAAAGCTACACCTGTTTAGCACTGAGTAGCTTGCTGTGCTGCTGCAGTGGCAAATATGCGACTTCTCTGACCCTGTAAATATGGTGAATTTCTTGAGTTTACTTTTTAACCCATGATGACAAAAACTGGTTAAACATACATATTGTTTTCCCTGCAACGTGATGCTTCCATTGATTGATCGTGCCGTTAATGCTAATGCCAGGAGTGCTCTGAGCATGCTGAACTTGCTTCAGCTCTTGATTACAGTTTCATTTAGAGGCACAGTGGTTATGCTGGAATAGTTCTCGTTCCTATTGCAGAAAGCTTTTACTTCTCCAGACCTCTTACTTGCACAGAGGAGCTGTCATTTGTCAGCTTTCCCCACTCCGTAAATTACTTATTGCAGCAGCTTTTTTGCACTTGTGTAAATATGCTTCACGTGGTGGGACAGAATAGCTTGCTGATCACTAAACAGGGATAGGAATTGTCTGATACATAGAAAAGGGTGAATTAGGCTGAAGAGTCCCATTTTCCTCCAATGACTCAAATCTACTGATTATGTGAAACCAGTCTGTTATGAAGGAAAATGATTTTTCCCAATCGAATCAGACCATTGCAACTGGTTCCACATTAGAATGCAGTTCTGTAAGGCAGAGTGTAGGGGTTAGGGGAAAGGCTGAGAAGAAGTAATTACTCGGGATGTGGACTGGATGTTTAAGAAATAGCACAAGTTATTGTACTAGTTCAGCTTGCATACTGTGGAAAACAAACTGTTGACAAAATGGGGTTAACACAGCTAACGTGTCTGTAGAGGAGAATGGGGTTAGGTGGGGATTGTGGGGAATATCATAAACCCTCTCCATAGGACATGAAGTTGCAAAAAAAGCTTTGGGAAGCTAGTCTGCATTTAACTGTCTTTGTGACAGGAGCCTTATGGGATGCTGGCTCAGCAGGATTTCATGTTCTTCTCCAGCTCCAAAGTGAAGGTTTACTAATTTACACAGGAAAAAGCTACCAATATTTAATGTCTCCTGGAAATGACCGTGCTCTAAAGGGAGAGGAAATGCATGAAGAATGACCTGCGGGGGGGAAGTTGGATTTCAAAGAGGAAAAAGTTGGAAAGCCCTTGTGCTAAGCCATGAACCAGTAAAGCCCTTTGGGGGGAGGGTGTCAGCGCTCTAAGCTCATATTTTAGGGTGCTTGTACATATTGCTGTGCAGTGGAAAAGAGATGGTATAAAACGTGGAACTTGAGCGGTGTGTAGTGTGCGAGTCCTCTTTCTGTCACTTCCTTCTACTACAGCTAAGACTGGGGTTTTTTTGGTAACAAAACCCACTAGTGTGAAGAAGTCTACATCTGCATTTAAATTAGAACATCTTAAAGAAAAGAACAGGCTCCAAAGCAGCCCACAAGAAAGGTTTCCTTGCCAGGCTTCAGCATATGAACACTAACTAACTGCTTATTGCCCAAGAAGAAATCCATTATCATTTAAATGTTGTTGGAGGTTGAAATGGGCTATTTCTTTCTAATTTGGCTTTAAATTGCTAGTTTAGGTGGTAGTTGTGGAACTTAAGTAACACTAAGCATAGCTGGCATAAGCTTGCGTTTAGTTTAGTTTTCTTTCTGTCAAAAATTGATCACAGTCTTGAAAATCAACTTATGGCCAAATGTAAGCTTTCAAACTATTGCATAATCAAGAAGGAAGATTGCTTTATTCTTTGTCCTTGGAGCCTATAACTCCATCGAGTTTTATGGAAGACTAACTCTGAGGGCTCGATGATGTGGATGGAAGTGCAAGCATGTTATTTAGGATGCAGTAATTACAATTTGAAGTGTGGTTAGGTTTCTTGATGCTGGCAAAACCGTGTTGCTGCTACTTGGCAACCGCAGCCTGTTTCTTGGGTGCTTGGCTTGTGTATTAAGGGCTGAGATGCTATGTGTTGTATTTCCATACTGTTTAAATCCAGAAAAGTAAGTGGATTTTTAGCCTCTTAACTTTGAAAGAGATCTGGCTTGTTAAAAATACAA